TTTGTAATTTTCCCTTCTTACTGCAATAATTATAAGTACGTTTAATTCTTTGATTTAATTTCCATTTTGCTATTGAACATTTATAAAATTTACATTGTTTTTTGCCAGTATTTTTACAATTTATTTACAACAGTAACTCCGGTTGCTCATTGGATTGCTTTTAACTATTTTTTTTTAATAAGTCAAAATTACAAAATATGGGCCTAAAATGCACTAATTGTAGAGTTCTCTAATTTGAAGATATTTATATAGAAAATCCACAGAGATGACATTTAAAAACGTGAAATGGGGTGACTTTGATCACTCTCTCCAAGCTATAAATATTCAAAATTCCCGCGCGCAACTGTTTGTCGACCGCGTCGTCGAGAAAATTGTGTTTAGTAATATAGGCCGCCACATACAATTTTTTTGGTTTTCTGACAATACATTCCGTGACGCATTTTGAGCAGCTTGTTTTAATTCTGGTGGTCGCTTGCTTTTATCCGAGCAAATTTATAGATTCGCATTTTTTTGATTGCGTTATCTTTAAAAGCGCATTCGATTGTATAATAAACTAGCTGTTGCCCGCGGCTTCGCACGCGTGGAGTCGTGTTTTTAGTATAAAAAAATGCATAACTTCCTAAAAAAGACACGATAATACGTTGTTTTACTATTTACGATATGTTTGTGATATTAGATTAATGTTAATTAGACGATTCTAATATTTAAATATATTTATCTAATTGATAATCTCATTTAATACCACATTTCTGGTACGGCTCTCATTTGCTAATATCACCAGATTGCACGCAGTACTAATTTATTTTTATTTAATTTATTTTTATTTATTTTTATTTATTTTTATTTATTTTTATTTATTTTTATTCATTTTTATTTATTTTTATTTATTTTTATTTATTTTTATTTATTTTTATTTATTTTTATTTATTTTTATTTATTTTTATTTATTTTTATTTATTTTTATTTATTTTTATTTATTTTTATTTATTTTTATTTATTTTTATTTATTTTTATTTATTTTTATTTATTTTTATTTATTTTTATTTATTTTTATTTATTTTTATTTATTTTTATATATTTTTATTTATTTTTATTTATTTATTTTTATTTATTTTTATTTATTTATATTTATTTTTATTTATTTTTATTTATTTTTATTTATTTTTATTTATTTTTATTTATTTTTATTTATTTTTATTTATTTTTATTTATTTTTATTTATTTTTATTTATTTTTATTTATTTTTATTTATTTTTATTTATTTTTATTTATTTTTATTTATTTTTATTTATTTTTATTTATTTATTTTTATTTATTTTTATTTATTTTTATTTATTTTTATTTATTTTTATTTATTTTTATTTATTTTTATTTATTTTTATTTATTTTTATTTATTTTTATTTATTTTTATTTATTTTTATTTATTTTTATTTATTTTTATTTATTTTTATTTATTTTTATTTCCCTCCTCCCTTAAAATGTGAAAATCCAAAAACCATGAAACACGTCATTAATAATTTGTAGTAAGGCTGCAATTCCAATTTTAATGTTTCTAACTTCAAAGAGAACAAAAAAAATCGATAGTCCCATACAAACTTTCATTCCCGTTTCCCACCCTTAAAATGTGAAAATCCAGAAACCCTGAAACACGTCGTTATTTATTTAAGCTGTAATTTAAATTTTCATGTTTCTTACTTTAAAAAACAAAGAGTTTCATTAAAAGCTCCCTCCCCCCATTTCCCCCCTTTAAAGTTAAAATTTCCAAAAATCCTTTCTTGGCGAATGCTTACGTTATAAAATAAACCTATGCTCCAAATTTCAGCTTTTTAGGCTCAGTAGTTTTGGCTGTACGTTGATAGGTCAATCAGTCAGGACATCTCTTTTACCTAAGGCCAGGACAAACATTTTTGTATAAGATAAATAGATAAGAGATAGATAATAAATAAATTTAGAAAGTAAAAAATTTTTAGGGGTTCATAATGTAACATTTTATTAACAATGTGACTAACTCCTGTAACTTTAGAATTTTTTTTTGCTTTTTGCGTTTTAATTTGTTTTAAGATTCAAATGTCATATCCGATTTGTTCACAAATAAAATGAAGTTTGAAATTTTAATTAGGTCATCCTGTATTCTTATAAAAATACCTCATAAAAATAAAATTTCGATGCTTCTTTATTTTTTATTTATCTACCAAAAAAGGTTAAAAACCACCTTTGGTAATTATTCTTTTAAAACTACATTTTAAAAACAAAATTTCGTTAGCAACAATGCCTATTTTCTTCTTATTTACATTAAATGTTCAAAATTTTGCACTTTAGTAAATTTATGTACGTACTATGACATCTGTTTTCTGAAATATTTTATGCTTAATGTTTATTAAACCCCCTTAATGCGGATCTTAAGTATTCAGCTCAAAGGATCATGGCGGCTTTTTATCAAAACGTTAATAAATATTCTTCGTTGAAAACGAATATATTTCTTATTTTTCATAACATTGGCACCTATATTATTTGTATATACAATTTTTTTACGTTACATGTTGGCATTTGCAACTTGAAATTGAATAACTAAAACATTTTAAATTGCTAATAACACCAACAAATTCAAAAAACGGCGGTCCATGATGATTCACTCACGCAGAGATGAGCGCAGAATAGAAATGTCGGAATAATTCGGGTAGAGTCGTGGAAACATTGATTTTAAATTGGTGGGTTTCTTAAGGCTGGAATAGACAACACGCGCTATGTGCAATGTTACATCTCCGGTCTATTTAATCTAAGGTTGAACCGAAAATTCTGAAAATCAATAGGGTTTTAAGATAGAAGCAATTATTCAAGAAAATCATAAACGCAAGTCAATCAGATCTTTCTTCCTACAGTTATCGTGCCGTCACACATACGCACAGACGACCAGAAACATTTTTTTTATATTTTAGAACTTTTTTTTTTTAGAAGAAGCAAATGAAGCAGATGATTTTTTTTAGAAACTCAATTCAACTAGAAGAGGAAAAGTTTTTGTTTGAAGAGCTGTTTTTTGTCACGGGGCCCGATCTAGAGAATTGTCCTGGGGCCCGGCCTGGCTCTCGGCGGCCCTGCTGATTCCCCGTAGAAAGGCACTCAGTATTTAAAAAGGAAATATTTAATAAAACAAACATTTACTTTTTTTCATGATCAGGGAGTGGCTTTCTTTTTTTTTTTTTTTTCATTATTTATTTATCAGTTACTTCTATGTTTAATATTATTGGTAAGTTTGTATTTTTGTATTTTTATAATTATGTATTATGTATTTTTATATAATTGTATTTCTATAATTTTGTATTATTTATAAATTCTTTATTTTCGTTTCTATATTATTCTAGATATAATTAAAGCAATATTTAAAACTTTTTGAAATTATATTAAAGGTTGCGCATACAAACTTTATTTAAGCGGGTCTTAAATATTGTTTAAAAAAATGTATAAATGAATAAATTTGATTTATTGGGGCCTCTTAATTGTATTCTTTTTAGGAACTCCAACTTAAAAAGTAAAATATGAAACATTGGACGGACGTTGTTATTAGGCATATCAACAATAATTAATCATATTTCGACTGCCACAAAAATTCTTCACGGTGAACAGTTAAAAGTCCATCATCTCTGCGCATTCCTGGCTGTAGAAAACGAAGAAAAAAAGGGACAAAACAAAACGCGGTGCCAATCTGTCTACGTTGGCCGAAACAAATGACAGCGATTCCAGGAACAGAGCCTTCCTTAAAACAATTTATCTGATAATTCTCCCGACACCTGCTTCGGAAACAAAAGAAAGATCTGTGAGAAATTCTTGCTTTCTTTCTTTATTTTTTTAGGTTTCTTTCTTTCCTTTTATAGCCGTTGTTTACAAATGACACGAAAATCTGCTTTTGTATAACAGTTTTGGAACTTTTATCAAGGACCATTGTTTGTCCGATAGTTTTTACAAATGATGTGAAACTGACCTTTTCTCAGCATAATTTAAGCTGGTGGGAAGGTTTTCGAAATCTACCTGTTTTGTCAAAAAATAAATTTAATTGATATAGAATAAGGGTGGTAGGTGGTCGAAAAATGTGAAATAATTTTGGTCCTGTTTAAAAAATAAATGATCTGTGACTGTTAAACAGTTATTGGTTTTATAGAATGTTATGTTCGACTACGAATGGGAATTTTTAATCCTATTTATAAAGAAACAATCAATAAAGGTCTTTTCATTTCCCCATTTAATTATAGTAGAATCGCAATCTGTGATTTTAAAGAGCCTGCAGGTAAAAGGTGTGGTGAACTTAAGAATTTTACCTGTGCCGCCCGGTTTTGTGGAACGTAACAATGGGCTACCCTTATTTTAATCCCTTTTAAGACTCTGATGAGCGCAAGTTGGGTAAGTTAGGGGGTATTTGTTTGTATTATTATTTTTTTGTTTCTATTTTAAACTAAAATAATTGTAATTCAACGACCGGGATGCTTGTTTTAGGTGAGTCTCCTCGCCACTAGCTCCTGAAAAAACATTTTTTTTTTGGTTGGTAAAGGCCCCTTTTTTGTGTTTTTTTTTTGGTGGTAATATATGAAGAACTTTGTAAATTCAATATTTTCAGTACTTTTTTGGCATGCTCCGGTTTTGCTTGCGTTTTTGCAGTCTTGCACGCTTTTGAGCTTTTTTTGGTGGTTTAGTTTCTGTCAGCGTTAATTGGGTGGTCTCAACGCCGCACAAGACGAGTATTTGCACTAAAAATTTGGCCAAAAGTCGAAAACGTAAACTATGGTAAACATTACTCCAACCGCCCTCTTTCTTACATCCGAATAACAAATATGTCATATCTCGATCATTCGCAGCCCCTGCCTTTCTTTCTTACGAACATGGGTAGTCGAAACTCAGAGTCGTTTAATTCGCACTGCTTTGTTCTTGATAACTTGATTTTTATAATATATAAATTACATTAGTATTTTGAGTTGATTCTTGGCGTAGTTAAAAAATAATCGTTATAGAGATGGAAGATGAAGGTATGTACTTTAATATGAAGCATGTATAATTTAACTGGTATTTAAAGAAATATTCTTTTTTATTATTTCAAAAAAACATTAACAAGTTTTTTTTTTGATAAAAATTTTAAACATAAGTATTTTTGTAAGTATTTCGGGGACTTTCGAGTTATTATTTCTCCTTTAATGTAAAGTTTAGTGTTTCCTTAGAATGATAGTAAGAGAAAAAGTTCCGCTTTCTTCCGCCATTTTGTTTGACATAGGTTTAAACGTAATGATATTTATTTACGTATTTTCTGTTGATTTTAAATATTGTCTTTTATCTTTTCAGGATCTTCTAGAATGTTAAAGGAAATAACTAAAAAGTCATTATATGATATAATGCAAGAATGTCCAAGTAAAAAGATAGATGAAAAGCTTTTATTTTTGGAAAAAAAGCTTTTGGTCTGACCAAATGTCCGGATTAAAACATACTTTAAGTTATTTCAAGTCTGACTTTAAGCAAAAATGGCAATTGGCAAATTATAAGCAAGAACGGTTTTTAAGAAAAAACGAACAATGACCTAACAATTCAATTAAATTTGTCATTTGGACTACAGAAAAATCTGGTCGACCAACAAAATAATTTGGAGAATCAAGTGACATAAATAAGCGAAGAAAAACAAAAGATTTGAAAGAACGTGTATCTGCGGAACAGTTAACACATGCCGCACAAATGTGCCAACGTGCTGAAGGAAATAAAGACGTGTCAAAAATCATAAAAGAAATAACTTTAACACCGACAAGAGCTACAAAACTCCGAAAGTGATCTCTTTGGTTAATAAAATTAAAAAGCACACACCATCTGAGGCCTTGGCTATTTTTATGGGGGGAGATTTTACTCGAAGGCAAATAAAAGTATTTATCATGTCTATTCACTAATAAAGAATGCAAAAAAAAGAATGTTATCGGAAGGAACAATCAATAAGAGTCACTGAAACATGTGCTGAAATTATGTTGCAAGATTTACTCAACCATACTTCTTTAAGATTATGTAAATATTTAGAAGAAGTTTAGAAACCTGCACAGAAGAAGAAAAGAAGACCATGGAACTTCTTACAAAATGGGGCTCTGACGGATCCCAGCAATCCCAATTCAAGCAAAACTTTGAAAATAATACAGATAGTGACTCAAATATTTTCCAAAGTTCCCTTGTTCCGTTACGACTGCAAATAAACAATAATGGACAGAAAAAGACTATATGGCAGTATCCAGTGCCATCATCTCCAAGATACTGTAGACCCATAAGGATACGTTTTATTCACGAAACTAAAGATGTAACAAACAATGAAATTGAATATGTAGAGAGCCAGGCAAGGAATTTAACAAAAACAGAAATACTGACTGCTACCGGCATACTTTATATTACACATATCCTGCTACCAACAATGGTGGACGCTAAGATTTACAATGCAGCTACCAATACAACTTCTACTATGAGGTGCTATATTTGTGGGCTAACCTCGAAAGAATTTAACTGTTTGAGTAGAAGAAAGGAAGTGAATCCTGAAACTCTGAGATTCGGTTTATCAATTCTTCATGCTAGAATTAGATTATTTGAATCGTTATTACATATCTCTCGTACAAGTTATCTATTAAAAAATGGCAGCTAAGATTGCCTAAAGAAAGAGAAATAACGAAAAAAAAAAAACAAATTCAAAAAGCATTTAGAGATGAAATGGGCCTTTTAGTGGACATTCAAAAGGCAGGATTCGGGAACACTAATGACGGTAATACATCTAGAAGATTTTTGCCGATCCAGAAGCAGCTTCTCGAATTACCGGAATAGACAAAAATTTGATCTACAGGTTCAAAGTGATTTTGGAAACGATTTCAAGTGGTCATATGATTGACGTGGAAAAGTTTGCAGGCTATACATTGGAAACTGCTAAACTGTATGTACAGCTATATGGGTGGTATCCAATGACACCGACTCTACACAAAATATTAATACATGGTGCAGTTGTCATTTCTCATTTTATATTACCAATTGGCAGCTCTCAGAAGAAGCTACCGAAGCCAGAAATAAGCGCTTTAGACTCTATAGACAAAACTTATCACGTAAATTTTCACGAGTAATGTGCAATAGAGACATATTAAACAGGCTTTTATTAACTTCTGACCCATTATTAAGCAGCAGTAGACCACAGCCACGTAAGAAGAGCAAGCCATTTTCTTCTGAAACAATAAGTCTTCTGCTTCCTGAAACTCAATGTGTCGGAACCGAAAGCAGCGATGAAGAAGAGGGAGATGAAAACGACGATTCAGATTTTGATTAAATTTTTTTTATTATAATAATCTTGTTTTACTTATTTTAATTAAAATACACAATTGAATAATACCTTATATTGTTTATTTATGCATCTCCACATAATAAATTACATTAAATAATTTTGGCTAGGTTTTTGGTTCAAATACCTCTCTGTGCGCCGCGCTGACAGACATCTTATAACTTAAATGTCGTATTATGTCGACCTACATATCCTTTAACTTGTGCCCATATCAATTCAATAGGATTTAGTTTGCAGTGATTGGGAAAAAGACGTACAACAATACCATGTGTTTCTGCAAGTTCATCCACTACATAACGTACTGGAGGCTTATTTAATTTCACAATTTCTAGTAGTTCTATTTGTATTGATTTTCCTGGAAAGTTAATGTTTCTGTCTGTTAGCCACTTAATAATATCATCTTACTTCCATGAAGTAATTGGCACACGTCCAATTAGACGGGAATGATAACTAGCGTTATCGATTACTATAACTAAACTCTTTGATAAATGTTCTATCATCGCTGGAAATATTCTACAAAAAATCAGTATATCATATCTTTATGGTAGTCTTCGGTTTTTTTAGATTAAAATATTAAAGAAGAAGAACCTTCAATCCTGTAGATAATTCTTCCAAAAAACCCTGTTCTTCACGACAAGAATGTTTGTGTCCTGCCACATTTTGCTAACTGTGTAGCCTTCAATTACCCAGGTTTCGTCCAAATAAAATATTTTTTTGCCTTCTGCACGTAATTTAAAAATGGTATCTCCGTCTCCAACAAACAATTTCCTCAGAATCAATAAGTGCCGCTTTCCTTTCCTGTTTATCCCACTTGAACTTCAAATCTATTAGATTTTCCCGTAGTTATATTTTTTCCATTTTAGGAAAATATGGATCACTATTGATTGTGTCCAAAACCTTGACAAGTGTTTCTCTTTTTTAAAATAAAATTCTTGAACTTTTCTTCTTATTCCGCTTTTAATTTGTTCAGTAAATTCCACTTTGTTCTTCCTCCTGCATTCTTCTTTGGGGGTTTAACAACTCCAATTACAAATTCACTTATAATTTTATATATCGTTGATTTGCTTCCACTCATCATATTACTTGTCTTTTCAACAGTATCGTCTACAGAAAACGAAGAATTCTCCATTCTTAGGCAATTATAAATATTGCTTACAAATATTTTCTCGTTAACTGAAAATGCACACTTTTTTATACGTTTCACGAGTGTAAACTTTGAATTTGAACCACGCTGCATTTTTCAATACTACTGTCACTATTAACCGAAAATAACCACACCTTCTTAATATAATAGATAATATAGAAGGTTAAACCTACAGGGTAGGTAATATTGGGAACTGTTCAAGATACTAACTGCAACTGCCTATCTTATCTTCATACCAAATCCTAGATAGGTAACCATCTTATAATCTCACCCCCTTGTTATCATTTTGGTTTTTCCATGCATTAGAAATCTTCAAAAAGGTGATGAAATAACGATTAACCTTTAGATTATGGATTTCTATGATCTAAGGATTTATCCCATTTACATTTTTAATACAATTATAGTCACATTTATAGATTTTGAACTCTCAGATTACTTTCTATAATCTAAACTGAACCGTTTCTCTCCACTTGTCATTAACTTTCACCTTGACATCAAAAATTTCCAAGAAGTCAATGATGAATAAAGATTTAAACAATTTAATGTAGGTATACCTAATAGTCAAATTTATAGGTCTTGAACACGGAAATCTAAAATTCTGTGTTCGAACAGGGAATTTCCGTGTTCAAAGAATTCCGTGTACGAACAAGGAATTCCGTGTACGAACAAGGAATTCCGTGTTTGAACACGAAATTTTACTTTCGAACTATAAACTTAAATGGTGTATGTACACGTTACTCTTGGGTGACTTGGGGATCTTGGGGAAAGATGGGTAAATACGGATTCTTTAAATATCCTCAGATTTTTACTGTTGCCGACTTTTGAAAAGAGGGATGGCGTAAGTAGTACCAAAAGTCTCGCCTTCTTTGATCCCTGCATACTATTTTCCCTACATTTTATTTCTTAGGGTCTAGTCCCTGATACCCAAATTTTATTTGAATCGGATCAAAATAATGCCCTGTATAGTGTTTTAAGTTTCTCTTTTTTAAAATAAAATGCTTGAACTTTTCTTCTCATTCCGCTTTTAATTTGTTCAGTAAATTCCACTTTGTTCTTACCTCCTGCATTCTTCTTTGGGGGTTTAACAACTCCAATTACAAATTCACTTATAACTTTATATATCGTTGATTTGCTTTCACTCATCATATTACTTGTCTTTTCAACAGTATCGTCTACAGAAAACGAAGAATTGTCCATACTTAGGCAATTATAAATATTGCTTACAAATATTTTCTCGTTAACTGAAAATGCACACTTTTTTATACGTTTCACGAGTGTAAACTTTGAATTTGAACCACGCTGCATTTCTAGTCCAGATTATAAGAGAGGAGTAAAGTAAGGGGATGTTTTCTAAATCCAATTATTAGTTATCTCTAGGATAAAGTGAAGAAATGGAGCGGTTAAGAATTTTTTTGCTTGTGTTTCTATTAAATGGTACTACCAAAAATGATGGTGCTATCTAAAAAAATCTGGTGTATTCATTTGGTGACATATTTGTCATATTTCGAAAAATGATGACTCGTCATAAAAAATATACCAAAATATGCGCATCTAAAAAACAAAATCCACTTCTGAATTGAAATTGACAAATAATTATGTCCGTCATGTATGAAAACCAAAGGTCGTACGTTTAGGTGTTATAATCGTATTTTTACCCTCACTCACCTCCAGCATCCAAGAGCACCTTAAAAGTTAATTTAATATAAAATTGTTCTAGTAGAGTATTTGGGACCATAATTCTTTAAAATATATGAATGATACCATTGAAAATTTTGAGGTAGGGGTAGATTGATGCAAAGGGAGATAAAAAATATGTGAAAGTATGATCCCTATGCATTGCCTAAAAAAAAATAAACAAAACCGAAGTTTTCGCGTGTACACCCTTTAAATATTTTTTAAATAAATATAATTTATTGTTTTTTTTTTAATTATGTGTATTAGGATGTAGATAATTACGTTTAAATATTCATAAAACTTTCTTACAATTTTTGGAACTTTTTTTTGTAATTTCTTTTATTTTGCATTATTCGGAAAGCAAATTACAAAAGTTGTGTATCACATAGTTTGATACTAAAACAAAGAATAAAATTTACCATATTTTCAAAATATAATTGTAATATTTTTAAAAATACTCAGGGGCCAAGAATTTGGAGATATGTGAACACTGTCAAAAAATAATATATTAATAAACATGAAGGACATTAATATGTTTTTAAGATACATTTTTGAATTTGTTTTGTAGGTTGTCTATAAGTGCTATTCCTGCGGAGCCCCATGCAATTAATCCATATACAGGGTGTCCCAAATAAGAGTGATCGATTTTAAATGTAAATGCACAGCTTATTAATTGCTCTAAGGAGATGGGGTTTTCACTAATTGCTTTCGTTTATCCAAAAGTTTTTTTTTCAAGTTTGTTCACATTTTATCACATCAATACAGGGCGATCCACTAATGTTGGTCAACTTGAATGGAAAAAATATGTATTATATTAAATGGAACACCCTGTATATTTTGATGGCATTCAAAAGAGAGATTCATCTTCTTTTTAAAAATGTATAGTTTGATATCTTTTGTTTTCTTAACAAAACAGATTTTCGAGTTTTTAAGTAACTCTGCTGTTTTCTTTATTTAAAAACTGACATTAAATAAAATTAACAAAAAGAATTTGTTCAGTAACAGAACATAACAAAAATTTAATATAGATTACAAAACAATTATTAATAATGAAGGATATAAAAGATACAACAAATGCTGTATGTGCCTATGTATACCCTCCTCTTCAATACACATGCGTAATTGAAATTTAACACACAAAATTAACCGAACATTTGGTCTATCTCTTTCAAATTCAATGAAAGTACATATATCTGTCTATTTCATAGGAGAGTAAAACACTCGTATTTGAACAAAATTTGATACATAGTAAAATAAATCAACTCTTGCTATGACAAGTTGACAACAAAATCAACAAATTTGACAATTCATAAAAACAGAAGTAATTTAATTTACTGTCACTTACAAAATGATTTATTCAGTAACTGAAAAAGCTCAAACTGTGTTAATTTATGCAGAAACTAAATCTATCTCTCGAATATTCAGAAGAAAATTTGGTAAAAATCCCTCTTCTGTGAATATTATTAAAAAGTGGCATGTACAATTTAGCGAAACTGGTTGCATTGCGCAATTTAGCGAAACTGGTTGCATTGCGCACCTAAAAAAACCAAGAAACTTTTTGAAAAGTTGCTATCTATTAATGAAGTGCTGCAAGCTAACAGTTACAGAATTTCGATTAGAAAAATTGCTGGAATTTTAGGCATTTCCAAAAGTGACGTGCAAAGGTGTCTAAAAATTTTAAAACTGACTCCATATAAAATTCAAACCTACCAAAAATTGTACCCGTCAGATTATGAAAAACGACTAAGGGTATGCGAGACTTTACTAGATTTATTCAGGAATAAACCTAATACATTATTAATCATGTCTGATGAAGCAACCTTTTACATTAGTGGAATGTACAACAAATAAAATTGCAGAATATGGGGTTCTGAAAACCTCACTTCTTTTAATGAATTTGAAAGAGATAGTCCAAAAGTTAACGTTTGGTGTAGGTTGTCCCCTAGAAAAATCTATGGTCCTTTTTTCTCTATGGAACCAACTGTGGCAGGTACAAATTACACGGATATGTTGGAACAATTTTTTTATCCACAATTAGTTCAAGATGGAATTAGAGACATCGTTTACTTTCAACAAGATGGCGCACCACCTCATTTTTCAATGATAGCACGAGATTCGTTAAATAATTTTTTTAATCAAAAGTGGATAGGTCGAGCTGGACCGATTGAGTGGTCACCGCGATCTCCTGATATAACTGTCCCAGATTTTTTCTCCGTGGATATGTGAAGGATAAATGCTACAGTCCTAAGCCTAACAACGTAGAAGAACTAAAAGATAACATTAGGAACACTATCGAAAATATTCCGCCAGATATGTTAGAAAAATCGTTTGAAAATTTAAAATTTCGCTTGCGTATGTGCATTGAACAAGAGGGTAGACACATACAGCATTTATGGTTACTTTTACATCCTCATTATAAATGTTTGTTTTCTAATTTTTAATAAATTTTTGTTATGTTTTGTTACTGAATAAATTCTTTTTGTTAATTTTACTTAATGTCAGTTTTTAAATAAAGAAAACAGCAGTGTTACTTAAAAACTCGAAAAATCTGTGTTGTTAAGAAAACAAAAGATATCAAACTATACATTTTTAAAAAGAAGATGAATCTCTCTTTTGAATGCCATCAAAATATACAGGATGTTCCATTTAAAATAATACATATTTTTTCCATTCAAGTTGACCAACATTAATGGATCACCCTGTATTGATGTGATAAAATGTGAACAAACTTGAAAAAAACTTTTGGATAAACGAAATCAATTAGTGAAAACCCCATCTCTTTAGAGCAATTAATAAACTGTGCATTTACATTTAAAATCGATCACTCTTATTTGGGACACCCTGTATTATTGTGATGCGGAGCCGTCTCTGTACTTTGCCCGCGGTATGAAGTCTAGCGCTGGCCATATAGAGACAAACGCACCGCTTCTTAAAACTACCAGAAAAATCAGTACGTGGCCATTGAGTCATAGAGATGAAATTCTCGGACATTCGAGATCGTCTAGAAACTACTGGTTCAGAGCTGTCTTTATATAAATAGCGATAAATGTCGACGGACGGGCAGATTCAAATGAAGTGTTGGACCGTAAAAACAAATTGTAATAAATATATTAGAATTTATATAAATTAATAAGTGCGTTATAAATAAATTGTAAATACTAGAAAATTCCACTTTAAATGAGAATCTACATATACATATTCCTAGATAATTGTATGGGTATAGATATACAATACATATCCAATATTATACAAACGTTTTTATGGCTCATGCCCATTACAATTATGATCAGATTATATCTTTTTAATAAACCCAAAAAGATATTCGATTAATAATCAACTGCTTACAAAATCCAAATCTAATCAATTTCCTACGAATTCTCCGATAATTTATAATCCGATACATCGAAAGGAAAATAAAGAGGCCCAAAAAGAAGAAAAAAAAGCAAAGAGGCTGTTATGTAAAATTATTCAAAATTATTCGAGTCAAGACACACAAAACGCATCGGAACAGTGAAATATGAAAACCGTAAAAAATATGATAAATGTTTATTCCTTTTGTTATAATATTTCTGAAATATATCAAGGGTGTCTCTGATCGGAGAGCGCAGATAAGGGCGCCAACGAAAACATACCGCGTGCCGGTATACCTGTTGGATTTAGTTGCATGGAAATTATTATTTAATGAATACATTTTATACCGTCCTCTGAATGGTTCCAAAAATATTTTAATCAATTTAATGTGCATGTGTTTATTGTATACGGTTTTTTGATGGTAAAAAAACATACTGGAGTCGGACCATTAATTATAAGGGGCCGAGGCAATCCATTTATGTTATGTTATAACTGGTGTATAAATGCTTGGAAATGCACTCATGTCAAATATGTGATAATTTTACAAATAGCATTTAAGATCAATAAATATTGGCATGACCAATATTTACGAGGTGTGGCTATAAAATAACGAGACTGTTGATCCAGAGAAAAAGTACACATGCGCCAAACGCGAACGACAAATAGCTGTGTAGTGTTCTCTTTCGAATGCGGTATGCGGTGCCTCCCGTGTTTATAAACATAGAAAAATAAGAAGAGAAGGTTTGAATAAATGGCGGGACTTTTTTCCTTGTTGGTAGTTCAACCATAAGCGCTTAGCGCGCTGCTATCACTAAATTCAAACCCGTTTTACACCCATAAAAAAATATGTTTTCAAAAATAATGACAAAGAAATCAATAATTTAACTGATTTACCCTTTAAATTTCATTTTAATATAATGTGTAATCAAATACAGGGATAATCGTTAATAAATGTAAAATTAAAGCTAAACTTAAATAAGTATTATGAGATGGTGTAAGTCTGGCTTTGAAAATAAATCACGTTATGCTGCCATAAATATGTCATCCTGATATTATTTTCATTTTCAAATGCAGGTGATATTTTTTTCAAATGTAAGTGAGTAAATTGTATTAATTTAGTATAAGTTAGATTTAACTAATTTAACTATAGGGAGGTTCTTAAGAATGTCATTAACTTCTGATTCATTTAAATTTTAATTGCAGAAGTAAATATTTTTCTCACAAAACTAACAAAAAATTTTATATTTTTCCTGCTATTATTAATACTCTTAGAGGTAAAT